GGTGATGAGATTGGTAGTCTATCACATATGAAGGGCGCCTGACTAGGGAAGACTACTACTTGTGCTAGTAAGGTCAAGTTCAGCTCTGTTATGGCACAAGAGCAACTCGTGGCTTGGCTATGAGGCCCCACACTTTCCAGGTAGCTCAGTCTTTTGGTACACTTGTCCAGTGATGGGTATCTTTGCTAGATGTCTCCCATCTAGTCCTTTCTTAATTTATAAGTGATTGATTGAGCTGTTGTTGGCATTTTTATATCAACAGAAGTGAAATTTGTGCATGGGCTACCATGAGGCTGCAGGCTGCCTATTTACTTGCATTTTCAGCAGTCTGCATTGTGCTACTGATTCTAGGTCACCCATAAAGGAAACTTTCCCCATCTCCACCCAGTGCATTTGCAGCTGTTCATGGAATATAAAGCTGCAGTGTTGCTGTGTGTGTTTGTATCTGTGTCCAAACGATATTGATTTTGGGGTAACACCTTCACAAATTGCCTTTCAGTTATATTACATAGTGATGAGCTCAGCATTTCCCCTCTCACAGTGCAAGACTCCAAAGAGAGTTCCAGCGGTGGAACTTAGAAGCATTTGTATGTTAACAATTCATCAAAGAATGAGGGAAAATGCAGATTACATAAAGAACTCAGCTCAGTCCCTTTCAAACATCTCAGATCTGGAGGACCCAAACAGGGCCTCTTTGCGGTTGTGACAGTTGTATCGATGTGTATTGAGAGAAGGAATTATCAATTCTCATTGTCTGTGGGTCAAAATGTCTGAAGTCAGAATGACAAGGGCAGTGATGCTGCAATTAATTATTCTTTAAGGTGTGCTGGGAATTCTAGATTTTCTTATGGCAGACTGATACAACTTTACTTTTGGAATTTTATTTATTATGTATTTATTTATTTATTTTGGAGAAAAATATGAGCAAGGTGATGGAAACGCAGAGGTTAGAGTTGTGTGGAACTCCCCTGATAATTTGCTGGAACTTTTTTTTCTTCCTTTGCTTCCTTTGACATTCTTTGAATGGGTCACTTACACAGCATCAGTTTAGAAACATGTGAACCTCCCCATACACACGCCCATGAAATTTCACTCATTATATCAGAATGCTGTTGCGCTTCTCCTAAGATTTGCTTGCATATTTGCTGACCAAATTTCTCACCAAACTTGTGTTTGGATGAGGAAAGGGGGAAAGAACAGAAAGGGATCAAAATCATGATGTGAGCACCCACTGTGATGGGACAAATGCTCGGGCTGATCACTCACTCCCATCTCAATTTCACCAAGTTGCACATGTCTGGGAGTTTTGGGGAAATTAAAATGGCAGCAGCTACAGCTTGCAATTTCTTGAGTGTTTCTCTTGTCAGCTCTGGAGTGCCCCCTGCCATCCATCCCCACAGCTGCTTTCCATGCCTCAGCTCACATCCTCATCCCTGGTAATTTTGTGGAGAGAACCAGAGCAATACTATGGAGGACATCTTCCCGGCCCCCTTTTATTTATCTATTTGTTTATATTATAGCCCACTTTTCCATCTAAATGGCACTCCAGAGAGCTAACAATAATAAAATGCAGATTACAAGCAAAATTCTAATTAAAACATAGCATAAACACAGGTCCATTAAAACACAACTAAATGCAACAGTAATAAAACCTCTTGAACTTAGTGTTAGCCCTGATTGACTTCATGAAAACAAAGTTACTGCTGGCATAACTAGATCTCTCCATCCGTTTAATTTTTTTTTGTGGTGAAAGAGAAGCTGAGAAGTGATCATCCTATTTTAAAATGAGTCTTCAAGAAGCAAGAGAAAGTGGGTTTTCTCTGCAAAGTCTGTTAATCTTCATAAGCCAGGGAATATCCACATCCCAGAAGACTTGGGGATTTAGCAAAGGCTGGTCACATATTTAGAAGGCGTACTTAAGTTGTGCCTGTGTATAATAGCCATGTTTTTAAGAAGCATTATTTGAGGTTTGCAACTATGAGAGAAAGTGATTGAGGCCTCTATTGCCCCAAACAAGCCACTGATTGTATTATTTGAAAGCAAGATTTGCCATGGCGATCTCATTTAAATTCATTGTTATTAAGCTATGCTATTGCTACAAGTTGGAGCTCATGAGAGAGAGAGAGAGAGAGAGAGAGAACGCAGAAGAAGCCCTTCCAAGCATGTTGGCACAAGAGATAGTTTGAAATCCCACCCACGTTTCTGGCAGCAGGTGGGATATTTAACTTCACGGGTGTATTGTAAAGCATCTGCGGCAGTGGGAGCATCAAAAACAGTCCATGTGAGGGAATGGGAGGGAGCTGATGAAAATAATCCAAAAGGGAATTCTAACCAGTCCAGCTCTCTGTGCAGCAGTGGCACAATCCTTTGTCCTCATTACAGAGGGACTTAAAGAAGAGCCTTGCTGGATCAGAGAAAGGGCCCATTAAATCCAGGCTTCCATCCATACAGTGGCCAAACAGCTGCCCACAGGAAACCCACAGGCAGCATACTCCGGCCCATGTTCCCCAGCAACTGGTGTCCCTGGGCAGCCTGCCTCTGATACTGGAAGTAGCATTCAGCCATTGATAGCATTCCTCTGTGTGTGTTCATCCGATCCCCTTTCAAAGCCATTCAGATGGATGGCTACCACTGCATTGTTCAGAGTTCTTCCCTTATGGGCATATGTCTGAGATTTAGTCATGCTTTATGAGACCTCTGTAGTGCAGCGACAGAAATTGTGGCTAACAGGGTAAGACGGCCTTCCCTTATGTAGCTCCTTTTGGATGTGTCAGAATGTAGTGCATACAGATGTGCACTGAAGTGTGCAAAGTGCAGGAGAAGGAGAAGATGATGAAGATGATGATGACAAAGACATCTGGAGGGTACCGGGCTGAGGAAGGCTGCTGCAATGGTTTGCGTTGCACAGGGACTGTGTTGTGGGGTATTCCATCTTCCTCTGTGGCTAGCGCAGGCCCCCGCAGACCCCAGGAATCGGATGTGAGTACACTGGGGGACCCATAAATGTTCTCTGTGCTGCTGTCGTCCAGTGCCAGAAACAGCTGTCCAGAGCTAATTTACTTCCTAATGCTGCAGCAATGTTAATTTATAAATTACACTGGTAATTCGAGCTATTATTAATTTTCAGATGGTGTAGGGCAAGCCTAATTAAAATATGACACCAATTGCCACACATATGTACCAAGGACTACCATTTAAAATTAATAGGAATATTAAGTGTGACACTGGGCCTGGAGTTGCTTTGCTCAGCAATTACAGCACCCTGGCTGGAAGAAATTTGATAGCAGGAGATGGAATGATATAGAAGGGATAAATACAGCCGCAGCTCCATCTGTGTTTATCTTTCCCCTCACCCCCTTGCCATCCCATTGTGCTGGCTGAGAATGATGGGAGTTGCATTTGAGAGGGCATGAGGTTGAAGAAGGCTGTCTTAAGGGGATAATTAAAGTTACTTTCTTATTTCAACTTCAGATGTGAACATTCTCATTTGCAAAAATAATTTAAAAAATAGCTAGGAAGCATTGGAATAAAGTCTGTTATTCCTACTCAGAATAGACCCATTGAAAAGAATGAAACTTAAGTGAATACTGAGTATCAACTCTTATTCATGTCAATGGGTCTACTACACTGAGTCAGATTAACACTGGGTACAGCCTAACATGTTAGAGGTTCTCAGGGGGTGTTTGGTGGAACGCTTCATTCACAAGGACTTCAGAGATGTTGCAGGTCTTTTGAGAACTTCTGTACTTGGACATGTGCTTGAACTGTCCCTCCCCCACATGCACATCAGTGTTGTAGGTGGAGGTCTCCCCCGGGGGTGCAAATTATCAGAATTAACAAGGCTGTGACCTAGGCTGTGAGATTTATACCAGACTGCATAAAGCTTTGCACAGAAATGCAGGCAAATCCATGGTCCTTGACAAACAAGGATACGGTTATTAAAATATGAATTAAGGATATGATTTAATTTGTAGAACATGAGTAAGAAGTTTATTAAGTGGTACATCAAACTCCCCAGTGATATCCAAGGGTTCAAACAAAAGTAACAAATTATGCAAAAGAACATTTTGATGTTGATAGTGTGTAAATATTTCAGCCTTTGCATGTCTACACTATAAGCAGCAATAACCCAGGATTTGAGTGATATTCATGCACATTTCCCATTTTGCAGCAGTGCAATTCCTAGGGTTATTTACCTGGACAAGACCATGGTGATCAATGGTACTGAAGTGATGCATGTCTGTAGCAGGGCTATCCCCCGAGGTGTGTCGTGGCATTAACGGATGCCATTCTTGTTTAAACAGAGGCTAACTTCTCTAAACATGGGTGGGCAACTCTGTGGAGCTTGGAAGTCTTATGCTCACCCGAAGACCCCTTGTGAGCAGCCGCAAATTTGGCAGTGTGTCCTGACTGTGGGGCTGCAAAGGAGGACCAGGGGCACATGGAGTTCACCAATCCTCTGCTCCACCCCTGCTTTAACAGCTGTAACAGTAGGAGAAATGCAGCTTACCTGTAGGAAGGTCTTCTTCTTTGGACTGAATATGTATACCAATGCAGGACTCAAGGGTGCGTAAAGGGTAATTGATATAAGAGAAGCAATTTTAAGTATGTGCTCTCAGTCTGTTTGAAAGTGATGTAACAGGGTTATCCTTACTTGATGAAGGAAACCCCTGGCTCACGAGGAACAACATTTTCAAAGAAGACAACAGGTTTGATCTTCTGCTCGTAGATTATCAATGGCAGGCTGCCAAGCTTGGCTGCCAACCACCTCATTTATATACAATGTTTCTTCCCTCAACATCAAGAAACCCACGCAGACAAATGGGAAAGATTGTCTTAAGGGCTGTGTATCTGAAAATCCCATCTGCATCGCTGCCAGGTGAAAAATACATGCGTGGTGAACAGGATGATGCACTGTTTAGATGTATCCTACCAGCTTACTGTGCTGCTGTGTAGCCTAGGTTCCTAGTTTCTCTTTTGCTCTTTTTCACCCCACAAAGCCACAGAATTCATGAGTGAAGATGAGTACTTGGAGATCACTGGCATCACCCGGGAGCAGTCGGGGGAGTACGAGTGCAGTGCATCCAACGATGTAGCAACCCCTGTTGTGCGGAGAGTAAAAGTCACAGTCAACTGTGAGTATGCACCTGCTCTCTCTCTTAGTTGCAACTTAGTGGCATGGGCTGAAGGAGAGTTAGCAGAGTTTCCACCTTCTTTTCATGGATATTCCGTGCCTTTAGCATCTTCAAAAATTGGTTCAACCAATGAAGATGTGAAGTTGCCTCTCCTTTCCTCAGATCTTTGGCATATACGCTTAACACGGATTGGCAGCAACTCCTCATGTTCTTGGGTGTGCAGAAATCATTTCCAGCTCTTCTGCCAAGTTCATTTTAAGAGGAGATGTCAAAGGCTGAACTTGGGGCTTCCTGCAAGCAGAGTGTGCACCCTTCCCTAATGCACATTTACTTCACCAAAATAAAACTGCCGCATTGCACTTCAGTCCCCTTTAGGCAAACAGGCTTGGAGTGTCTGTCTCTGGGGAATAACAGCAGAAGTGTAGACCCAAGGCCGAGTTCCTGCTCAGTAGATGGGCCAGCCTTGCTTTTGCACATGCATGCATACACTTCTGAATATACACCTTGGGTTGCAAAACTCGTGCTCCTGTGTATTCATTCACACAGGTGAGCCCTCATTCAGTTACATACACATGCCCTGCATGACACCGTGCATTTGGGGCTTCATTCCAGCAGGGGTTTGCATGCTCACAACCACAGACATACTCCAGACACACCTCGTCTCATGCCCACTGAAGGAACATAAACAGAGGACAAGCACGAGGGGCCTGGAGGCTGCTTTGATCCAGCAGATAAGACTCGGGGGTGTGAGGAACGCCAAACCTGTGCGGGTGATGGGTGGTATATAGGATCGATTCAGAAACTGAGTTCTTTGAGATTGCCCGCAAAGCAGTTGCTGAGTGTTGAATGTCCGAATCAAGATACACCAGAAGGAATCTTCTGCCTTGAGCTACTTGGCTTAGCGCACGGTATGAACTGGAGGAATAGAGGATCTTGAAGCAAATGCAAAGTCAAGTTATTTTCAGAGGTCTCATCAAACACCCTGCAATCTGTCCCTTTCTCTACAGACCCGCCATATATTTCGGACACTAAGAACACTGGGGTGCCAGTGGGACAGAAGGGTATCCTCCAGTGCGAAGCTTCTGCAGTCCCATCAGCAGAATTCCAGTGGTACAAAGATGATAAAAGGTATGTGAATTAGTTGTGTCTGGCACTTGGGAGCACTTCTTTACCACCATTCTGTATCTCTTTACCCCTTAAAAACCTTGTAATCCCTCTGCCAAAGAGTAGGTCAAGGGGAGGTATAGAGAATTACATCTCTCCACACCTACTCAGTGACTGAATATTAATGAAATGATGTGTTTATGTGAGAGAGAAGGCTACAGTAATTCTTATTTGTGACTCAAAATGCAGAATCAGGCACACTAATTTCCCTGTATGTAACTCTGCCTCACTTGTATCCACCCCATGTTAGCCTGGCCTTTTCTAATTTTTCATCCCCTTATTCTCTGTTTTGTGCTGCATTTCTTCATTGACCCCACTTCTGGTCTGTCTTCACCACTCAATATTTAAATTGTAGGCTCCTTGCAGTTGGGGACCTTTTTCCTGTACATTATTCTGCAAAGTAGATTAACAGCACTAGGATTACTGATAGTATTGTGAATCAGAAGTAATCTTGCTCATGAAGCCTGAGACACTCTTCTGAATGTAGAGTTTGAAATGATGTTTTTAAACATAATTCTTGCTGCCAAAGTTCATTATCACACCAAGCCTCCTGTGTGATAATTTCACCCAAATTCATGAATACTTTATCAGACTTCCTGAGACGAAAAATGGGGAAGGGGTCATTCTGTGTTCACAATGAATCTATGGTCACTGAGTCATCCCCCCCCCCCCCGCTCTTGAGTATCTCAGTTATTTAGTCTACAGAAATCCACTGAAAACACATTTCAAAGATATTGTCCATTCAGTTAAGGCATTATTTTATGTGGTGGGTCATACGGTGAATTGCAAATATAGGTAATGCATTCAAATGGGAAGCTGCTATAAGCCATCAATCAAGATCAAAAGCAAGCTAGGGCTCTGGTAATACAGAGCGAGAGATTGCTGAGAAAATTAGCTAGGTAAAAAAAAAAGAAAACAGAAAGAAAACAAAACGAAGATGCAAGAGGCTATGTCAAAGACAGAAAGCTGAAGAGTCAGAGTCTTATAACTACCAAATATGCTCAAGAGCTTCACGTGTTGTTTGTTTTTCCCCCACTTGAATTAACTTAAATTCAATTGAATTAAAGGTGCCTGTATTAAAGAAAGCAAAGCAAGCCTAAATATGTTAGTAACCCAGGGTAGAGTTTAGTTTCATTGTTGTCATGTTTGTGATGATTTAGTGGGATTGGCCACTTAATTACAAACTAGGCCTTCTGTGTATTTGAAGGATCAAAACTTTTAGTACCTGCATTATTTCTGAATTAAAATTAGATGAGCTCTTTCCAGCCCCTACTATACTTTGCATTCTTTTTCATTGGAAGAAAGAAACCCTATAGCATAGATTCAATCAGAGGCACACATTCTTAGATGGAAAAATTCTGAATTGGAGAAAATAATTCAATTAAACCAAGAGCAGAAGTGTGCAAAACTTAAAGGAAGTTTGTTGGAAGGAAGCAAATTCACATAATACAACAAAGAGCCATATCTATAGGGAAGGGAGTTACTTTGGCTTTGCAAGAGACTTTATTTAATGAAGGGAATGATAGAATTTGTAGTCTAGCATATCTGGACAGTACAAAGTTGAAGAAATCTACTTTGTGTTCAGAGGAAGTGTACTTCCTGAATGCCAGTTTCTGGGAGATAAACCAGAGGGAAAGAAAATAAATACATGGCTTGATCTATCCGTGGCTGTCAGCCAGGAAGTCTAAGAGGAAAGCCTTCATTTTCAAGGGCATCATGCTTATATCGGTTGCTGGCAAAGTACAAAATGGGAGCCCCTTGCTTTGATGTTTCACATGTGCCTTCTCAGAGGCACCTGGTTGGAGTCAGTTGTGTGGTGCTTCCATTTTCTCTTGGTGATGCTTTAGAAGCTTGCTCTTTCCCTTCCCTCTTTCCTCCTGCATTTCCTGCTTATTTGAGAGTCTAGCATTGGTGTTCACCAGACCATTCTGAGAAACCAACGAGGCCATGCACATGACAACGTTGTGTCCGAGCATTAATCTGTGAAGCAGACAGAGCTGGCACAGGAAATGTCTGCCTTGAGCTGTTTGCTTTGGCACAAGTTGCAAAGTGGAGAAGGAACAGATTTGGAATCCAGTGAGCCCAGGTAGCAAAAATGCTACCCGTGAAAACAACCCAGTTTACAGCCCAAGTTAAGTGACCTGGCTAACCGGTTCCAATTTATGTTTCCAGTGAAACTGCTTCATAAAACAATTGTATGGACAGAGAAAATTACATTAGATTTGTCTCCAAGTGGGAGCTTGAATTTAGTTAGGGCACTCCAATGCAGCACATCATTGGCATGAAGGCAGCACATAAAAGACCGAGCCACTGTTGGATAAATACGTTATCTTTCATTTTCTACTTGGTCTCATTCTCTCTTTTCCTCTCCTATATAAATGTCTCCCGTGTTTCAGGCTTATTGAAGGACAAAAAGGGCTGAAAGTCGAAAACAAGGCCTTCTTCTCTCGCCTGACATTCTTCAATGTCTCTGAACAGGACTATGGAAATTATACTTGCGTGGCTTACAACCAGCTAGGAAACACCAATGCCAGCATCATTCTGTACGGTAAGCGAGGCTGTGGCAATGCACTGACTTGACCATGCACGCAAGTTAGTAAAGCAAATGGTAGGGGTGAAAGGCGCGGGTGTGGGCGATGGAAAGTTCAGTCGAAGAAGGATCTGCTTCCAAGTCTGGGAAAGCTGGAAGCATGGGAACGTTCTACTGATCACAGCTATTAAAAAAGAGCCTCAGCAACCCTGGCTGCTATCTTCTAACATATGAATGTCCCAGGATAGAGTTGTTTACTCCTACTATACATTACAGAGGTCTCATGACAGGCAAATTGCAACACCTTTTCAGACGTTCTAGCAAATGCTACCCTCAAATGTCAGTAGAACAATAAATGATATGGACTGATCTACCAAGGTGGCAGCTTTGGGAGGGAAGCAGGTTCTTGATGGATCATAAGATGGTTCAGAGCACAGGGCTTCTTTCAGCTCTGCTTCTGCTACATTATCAATGCTTTCCAGATGAATGGACGGAGCGTTCATTCCCCCACAAGTTATCACAACTCCATTCTCTTCTCTATTCAGTAGACTTTAGTATGAATGTATCAAGCATCCTGGTTAATCCGATGAAAGAAAAACAAACAAAAACACCCTGTTCCACCTTCCTGGAAATCCCTTGAAACGAACCTTCTATTTTGCTTTGGGTGGGATTCTCTGACAACTTTACATAGGAGCCCTTTATTTACCCTGACCTAATGGCACTATCATCAGCTGAAGTGGAAGGGATTCCATGTGTGTTTGCTGTTCAGTCCCAAGTGTGCCTGCATGGTCCTCCTCTGGTAAACACTTCTACCCCATCTTCTGAAATTTCTTCTTTTTTCATTGTGCCCAAACCTCAAAGATGATCGGAGCTGCTGTGAAAACTACCTAGCTACTATCCTAAAGAAAGGAGGAATTAAGGGTTCTGGAGCATGACTTTTGGGCTTTTCTTAAGAACTAGAAACTTGCTTTTATAAACATTTATAAGATTTTATACATTTATCCAGTTTGCTGGATTTGCAAGAATCATCTCCCACCCCAGAACTTGCATGGAGTCACTGAGTATAAACCCCCTTCTATAAGCCTATTCTATCCATATCTAGCTTAGAAACTCTTAGGAACATTTAACCAAAAAGTACTAAGGTGTGAACATTGGTTCCAAACATTGGATCTCAATAAGAATTACTGAGAGTTTGCAGGAAAGCCACAAAGGTGCATCTGTTTGGTTAAAAGCATAGTGTGATAACAGGCAATAATTCTGAATGTGGAGATATTTTCCACTTTTATTCTTAGATAAAAGACGAATGTATTTAAATCACATTGTGTACCTGGCCCAGCATGTTTCACAGATGTGCTTGCCGCTGATTCAGTTAACACAAAAAGCACCTTTTCAAGGTCTTCTATAGATCTTGGATGGCTCACTTGGTTATTAATATCTAGTCTTCATGGAAGACTCTCTTGTAATGTTCTTTTCCTCCCTGAAAAACTTACATCTGAGTGAAACCTGGGCAAGTTCCTTTGCTATTCTAAAAGAAAAGTGTCTGGTTCTGACCAGGGAGAGAGGGGTTTTGATAACATTATTTTCTAGTCATGAAATCCAACAGGCTTCTTTAATTAGACTTGCTGTAAGTGTCCTATTTTAATTACAGATGTGCAGAATCCTCACCTGGGATTTTCCCGCTCTCTTATTTTAACATCTTTGGCTTTTCTAGAGATTTTTTCAGATGCTTCCACACATAAGAGACACTCAAAGTAGCTTTTGGTGTCCGCTGAGCAGGCACTATCAGAGACTATGGGCAAGTCCAAAAAGATACAAGAAAAATCTGTGGGTTTTTTGGACCAAGCTCCACCTTTAGGAGTCTCCCTAACACATTCCATGGCACATGCAGAACATTGTGTGCAGTATCTGTCACCACTCCCTCAGCTTCTTTTTTTCCTCATGTTGTTTTTCACTCACCATGAAGCCAAAAGTCTCCACCCATAAGCCTCAATGTTAACCAAAAAAATATATGCTGTAAAGTGGTTCCACAATTTCACTCCAGGTTGAATTTTGCTGTCAACTCCTTTTTTAACAAGTCTGTTAATTCTAATTTTAACAAGTGTGTTAAAAAACCATCACAACTCCCAAATGCTACCATGGAATCCCTTTCTTAATTCTGCCTGTCCCTTTTATTTTTGCATAGGGCTATGAGACAAACTCCCTAGCTATGGGATGATGTATCTCATGTTTGTAGTGTTGATCTGGCCATCATATTTCCATGGAATATTTCCTAATTCATGGTCTGTGCTTGCATCTTGAGAACTTCCCTGCCAAGGGTATTGTCCTTCAGGAAACCAACAAAGGCAAGTTTGGAAAGGAAAATACTATCTTCATATACAAACAACAACAAGGATAGCAACAACAACAGTAACCATCTCCTAGAATATACTTTGGCATAGCCACCCTAGAGTGCAGTCTGTTAGGTGAGGCTTTTGAGAATAAACAACCCAAGCAGCACTGCAATTGCAGGCCTGCTTCCAAGTCGCATTTTCTATTACTGCAACATAAAATAAAAAATTGACTTTAGCAAAGGGAGGCGGGGAGAGCTCTGTAGCTTTATCTGGAAGCTATTTTCTCCACATGCCAGAGCTCTGATTAGAGTGATGGATCCATCTGACACTACTCACAGCCAGGGACAGCTGTAATTGCTTGGCTTATTTGTCACGCTTCTCCATGTTACAGGAGGCAGCACCATTGCCTGCCTTTAGTGCCAGTTGGGAGCTGAGGTGTGGAGCGAAACCTTCCGTGTTCCACTTTCCTTCTCTCCGTTCCAAACAATTATTACCGGCTGAAAGGAAGAAGCAACCCATCCCATGCCTATGGTCACTCGGATCCCGGTGCCCCAGGAGAGCTTGCTTTTCTACCCAGAGTGCATGAGGGAAACCAGCAGTGTAGCACTATGAGTTGCCCCAGTTCTTCTGAAGATGGCACCTTGTTTCCACAGTAACCAGTGGTGACATCTAAGAAGTGGGAAAGTTATAAAAATGAAGGGGAGGTGATCTGGGGCACGTATGTGACACGTATCAGGTTGAATCTGTGTCTTGACTAGGGGGGATGCATGTGGTTTACTCAGAATGCGGATTCCGGCACTGACAGAACAAAGAGAGGCTAGCTGTTCCAGGCACGATCTTCAATATGATGTAATTTTTTGCCAAGTTTTTAAATGTGCGGTGTGACTTTATGAAACACGAATGCAGGGCTCCAGGAGCTTCCCACTCCCCAAATATAAAAATCACAATAAAAATAAAAATGGAAACTAGATTCAGCTGTTGTAGCTTCTGTGCTGAATTTTCCAAACATGACTATCCAGTCCTTCCTAGTATGAATTTTTAGAAATCGGTCTCTCTGTGATGTCTGCACTGGAATCAGCTCAAGTATCAGGCTGGAATGCCATGCCAGAAGTTTTATCTGTTTCAGGCCATGGGTTATTATTTCTCAGGGCCAAGCTAGAGGTTTTATAGTAGATAAGGTAGCAGTCTCCTGACAAAGTTGGATTGATGTTGGCATTGTTTTAAGGAAAAGCACTGTGGGAGGCTGTGACTCTGAGTGTAGCAATGGAGGAAAGTTGAGTTGCTTTTCTCTTGCCCTTCCAGACACTTTTTTGTTCAGAGTTGTCCCAGCCGGTGTCTTTTCTCCATGGCTGGAAAAGCAGCTAGGAAAAGAGGGTCTTTAGTTTGGAAATGGCTGGAAGGAAGATGTTTTATCATGCTCTGTTCCACCCAGCCCTATTGTTCTACAATTGGAAGGGAAATGCATAGACTTCAGCAGAGGAGCAAGTAGTGTTCCCCACCTCAAGTCAAGGGGCATCAAGCCCAAGGCCAACCCAATAGCTTTGCACCCAAGGCAGAAAAATCCCCCCACCCTGTGCCTCTCCCTGCACTTCACAGTACAGCAGTAACAAATTAACCAATCATGTGCCATTCTTTATTTCAAATCAACAAGTATTGGAAGACTTGCCTACATCTGCCATGTAACTCCTTGTTTGGTCTTCAAGAAAGCCTATATATCTGGCCAAGTTGCTGGTTTCCCACCCTGAGGTTTGTCTCTTTCTGTCAACTGGGTATGCATGCCAAAATCAAAAACCCCTGTGCTTAAACAAACTAACCGGAAAACCAAAAGTGTCCATGCAGCAAGCAAACAAATGCAAAATGAAAAGGGTCTCTGACCACCACAGCTACAATTATTATAGTTATCCTAAGGAGGGAGGGAGGCTCTTCTGTTAGCCTACCTCTGTGAACTTCGTGGCTGAATTATGAGAAATTAGGTCCTGGTCTTTCTCTTGTTTTTGTGTAGCTTATTAACTGATTACGCATTTTCTTGCTCCATCCCAAGGACTTGGGCTAGACAAGAGGACTTTAAAAACACATGCAAAACATCTCGGAAAAGCAATAGCATGAAACGTTGAAACCTACGAAAGAACAGATGGAAAAGCACATCTGACACCACCTCTGCCCACTGGAAGTCAAATCATTGAAGTCATTTAAGTGACCATACTCTGGTTTTGGAGTGTCAGCTCCAGTAGGCAGAAGGGAGCCGCATGGCAGTCAATGGAAATGCCCGCCTTTGCTGCTGCAATGTACTGCAAAAACTGTACATGGGAAAGCAGAGGTGGGCAATGTCTGGCCCTCTAGAAGGCCTGGCTTACAACTCCAGTGGCCTGGCCACTATCAGCCCTGGTCACCAGTGCCAGTGGTAAGAGCAGATGGGAGTTAGAGGCTAAAACATATTTTTGTGGTTCAGATACATACAATGAGGGCAAGCAAGGGAGGAAGCAGTCCCTTCAGTAGGCTGAGCCCATCTTACCATGGAAGTAATGGGACAGAAGGTGCCTGTGTCCACACCAAAATACTGTGCAGTGCTGATTGTTTGAACTCTTGACCACATCTCCCCCATCACATACGTCACAACATTCTATCATGCAGCCTTGCAAAAACTGTTACTGCCATCGGTTTTCTCTAGGAAAGGGCTTTCATAGTTATTCTGAGTGTCAGGACAAGTTTGCAAATCCTAATCAACAGGTTGAAATTTCCCCATGTGGAACTGGTAGGTAGGTGTGCTATTTTTAAATAGACATTTCTTAGAATGCATATTTTTACAAAACTTTCCAAGGGGGTTCTTTTTCTGACCCTCTAGGAAAAGAAGGAAATGTTTGCAGTTTTCTCAGAATACTTTCCATCATTTTGGGGAAACTGCCCCCCGCCCCCCTTGGTGCAAGTTGGTCCGGGGCATTTGGAGCACACAACATGGTGGCCATGCGAGCTGCATAACCGCTGCTGTTTCTACATGTAGCGGTAGCAGCAACCATGGGGTAGAGGACCTTCTTCTGAAACAGACAGAATTGGTGCTGTCACCAGGAGTAATGGGAAGACTGCTCTGGAAAAGTGTAAGAATTTCTCCAGTAACATAAGTGAAATGTTCCTGTCTACAAGGGGAGATTGTGTGGCGGTTATGGGTGCATAGGCCTCATGACTATTAAGTGTAGCAGTGGTGTTATAATTAAGTAAATTGGTTGAGCTTTAGTTTGGCTGAAGGTGCTGTAGCCATTGAACTGTAGAGATGCTTGGACATCAGCTGTGGATTTGTGCTTTCAGGTGGACAGAACCTTCTGTAGATCAAGTTCATATGGTTTATGAATGCAGTGTCTAGTTCTGCCTGACTCTTTCTCAGATCCTGCCTTCTCATACCAAAGGAAGCTTAACCAGTGGCCTGCAAGGCAGAGCTCATGCCAGTGGCACCAATACCAATACCTGGGTCCCTGGGATTACTTTCTCCTGCACTGCATGAATTGCCCTTCCTCACAGTCATGAATGGTGATGGTTGTAGGGAATACAAGAGGCTGCATTACTCTTGCATGCGTGCTTCCCACATGGACCATTTGGATGGCAACAGGTATTAGCGCTTCAGAAGGGCTAGGTGCAAACTGACCAATGTAATAGGCTTGAACTAGACCAGAAAGCCTCTGGACAATTCTAGGATCACCTGGTGTCATGGAAAATGCAGTAGGCTCCCTGGAAGTCTCCCTTAAAATTCTGCTGAATCCGGTTATTCCACAGAATTCTCTTGGGTGCACTTGGTCAGACTGTGCTTCCTAATTGACCGAGACAATTTGAATCTCCATACTAGACCGTGATGGATGGTGGAGGACAGGAGAGCCAGGAGGGATGTTTTCCATGGGGTTGTGTGACAACTTTGTGACTAAACACCAACAAACAACTAGACCATAGTTGCCCTCCCTGCACATAGACTTTATTTATTTGTTTGTTTATTTGTTTATTTATTTACTTGTTTAGGCCCTCTTAGCCTGCCCCACTTCTTCTTTTGCCTGCTAAGACAGACACGCTGATCACAACAAAACCTTTCCCTTTTCCTGGAAATTATTTCCCCAAGGGGCAGAGAGGACTGCGGTTCTTCTGCTCATGAAGGGCACGTTCTTGTTTAAAGCATCCCACCACTGAGCCCATGGCCATAGTCTTCCCATTGTGTGATAAAGAAATAACCACCATTTTGTGATCAGAGCAGGGCGGGAATCCGCCCACTGCTCACAGAGGGATAGGCAGATAATTAAAGTACAGCAGGGTCCTACTATACTATCTTATATTAATCTAAGCCTAGCAAATCACTTTCTTCCTCTCCTTACCGCCCTCCCACAACACTTTTTGTCTGACTACATTGTAAACTCAGCAAGACCTCACTTTGGTACTGCATAGTGCTTTAATATAGTGGGAAGCTAATTTCATAAAAGGTCTCCTGTCGTGAGTCAGAGTTCTAGGCCCAAGCGTTGTTAGGGGAAACAGCAGATGCCATGTTCTGAATACGGAGGTAGGCCCTGCTAAAATCAAAACGAAAGAGACCTAACAAGGTCAGTGAGATGTTATCTCATCACAGGTGACCTGGAGACCTGCCCAAATAAAAGACAATCCTGAACCCTCATTAATCTGTATAGACAAGGCAGTTGTAGTCATAAATTCCTTCAGAAGGAATAAAATTTCATTATTTGAAGTGTGAAAGAACAAGCTACCTAGTATGAATGGGAGGAGGAGAAGGAAGGAGAAGAAGAGTGTGGTATAATGGTGTACAGGTTCTCATTCAGAGGTTGCCACAGTCCTGAGCTTGCTTGGTGAATTTTGTCAGGCCACTGAGCCATTAAGCTCAGCCCTGGACAACATTACAGCACCATTTTAAGGGGTATGGAGATAATGTACAGAAAGTGCTTTGATTACTCAGTCTCCTTTATAGGCACAAAGCATTATTATATTTCCAGAAAAAGTTGCTCTGAATATGGAGGGATACTTGAATGAGGGCCATGACCATGGGAGGCTTCTTGCATGAGCAGAAGTTTTCCAGCAAGTGCCCACAAAGTGCAGGCTGAATGGAGTCCAGGTTTCAGCCAAGGCTTGCAGAGCCAAGTGAAGCAGGGCAAAGAAATACAATGCCCAGGAGCTGGTCAAGCCAAGCCAGGTAAGTTATAATAGAGATTTCAGGACAGAGACCCAGGAAGCTTTGCAAAGTGTTCTGGTGAGAGACTAATAGGAACACATCTTGAATGTTGCCTTAAGCAACTCCAGACTGAACTGCTGAACTATCTGGATGTTTAGAAGGTCCCACCTGTGATTTCATCGGGCTTGAGAATGGATCAAATTGTTGACCCAAAGTGTGCACTTGCAGTGAAAAAGTCAAATTCCATGTTAGAAAAGTTAGGACAGCGATCGGTAATAAAGTGGCCAATATCACACTGCCTTTATATAAAAAACATGCTCTGCAGTCATGCTCAGAATTCTGTGCAGAGATCTAGCTGCCATGCCTTAAAAACTGTAGAACAGGAAGAATGTATCCCCCCTCCAAAAAAAAGAAAAGAAAAGCTATTTAAATGATCAAAGTGCAGGAATAACTACTGTGTGAGGAAGACTTGTAATGCCTGGCATACTTTCACTTAGAAAGATAAGCTAAGGCATGTCAAAGATGTACAAAATGATTCATGATGTGGGGAAAGAGGATCGGGAGAAAAATGTCTCCATCTCATAATAGTAGAACTCAATGAGGTCAACCAAGGAAAGAGACGGGTGGGAGAGTCAGGACAGGTAAAAGGACTATTACTTCACCCAGTGCATGTTTAAACTATGGCATTCACTTCCACAAGATGCCACAGCGGCTACTGATTTGGATGGCTTTGAAATGGATTGCACAAGTGCATGGAGGACCAGGACAGCAAAGGTTATGGATCCAGAACTGCAATGTCAGAGCCAGTTGTGGGGAACATGGGTGAGACAATACTGTTGTGCTCTTGTTCTCCTTGTAGCACGGGAAACTGTTAGCTACCATGTGAACAGAACGCAGGATGAAATGAACTTTAGTCAGATCTAGCACTGCTCTTCTTGCAGTCGTCTAGTTGTTGTTATCATCATTTGAATTATTTCTATGGATATTTGTCAAGAATGGGGAAGATGTGTAGTGTGGATTGTGAAATAATGCTAATATTTTGGAGACTGAAGACTACATTCAGTGATAGACTCAGGGATGGCAATAATATTTATACACTCTTTATTTTTATTTAAATGTTTGTATCTGCCTACAGCTTCCATAGTAAAACCCCTCTCTTGATGGTCACTGGAAAGAAGGGTGTGATTTGTTGGTGGGAAGTGATACTGGAACTCCCTTGTGTTGACTTGGCTCTCCCACACTAGAGGCATTCAGAAAGAAACTGGGCAGACAATCTGAGTGGGATGGTGTCAATTGGTATCTTGCAACAGCTGTGTGTTGGATCGGATGGCCTTCTGACTCCACTATTCCATGATTCTATGATTCCCCCCACCCTCCACTAAAGATGGAAGTATGGGGATCAGGATGAGTGGACAGAAGCAGCAGATGGGTTGTGAAAGAGGAAAAATTAAGCACCTCCTCTGCTATCCACCTTTGAAGAACAACAATGACATCGCAAGGATCTAATCTTGCATTTGGTTATGATTCCATTGAAGATTTTTAGTTATTTCATGGGGTTGACCATATCCCTAAACCCTTCTCTTTAGTGATCTTCAAGATAGTCTACAATGTGAGATGATGCAATCAAGGTCTTGGTGAACAGTGGCCAAGAAATAGTTTGTGGCCTTTCACTTCTAGCTACACTCCTCCAATAAGAAGGACTCTTTTGCAAGGCTGGCATTACCAATTAATTCAGGTCCATGGATTCATTCTTGCATCTTCCGTTCATGCTTCATTTACTTTCAGAAAGTATCTGCTGTTTTCTGACTTGCCTATTCATTCCAGTGTCACCATCACCCCACTGCATACACACACCTCCTTCACCCCGTTTCTTATTTGCACGACATTATGTTTCATGGAGTGGTAATTATGCAACAAAATATTTATTTTTTATTTTATCTTCATTTTTCTCTTCCATTGTTTCCTCACCTGGTTTAGAAATAAGTGAGCCCACAAGCTCAACCTTGTTCCAAGGTCAGTATTGTTCTTGCTCTATGTCGCATCTGCTCTGCTGCCTGTAATTGCAACCTCCCCCTTCCACCGCTGTCGTGTTACACATTGCCTGTTGTCCTGTCCGTTTTGCATGGAGGATGGTACCACTTCCTGCTGGGTAAACTAAAGAGAGTGCAGTTTCGGATTGGTCTTCTGTCTCCCTCATGTCATGTCTGATCAGTCAAGCCAATAATTCAGAGCTAGTACCTAGTTCAGATCAACTCCTAGAGACTGGGCGGTGAATCCTTTCCAAATAACTAAGAGCATACCTACATGAAGCACTTATATTGGCTTTCTACTATCAGCTGCACCCCCAACCCTAATAATCCTGGGGTTTATAATTTCAAGAAGTCACTGAGAAATCAACTGCAAAACTAGAGTTCACAAGTTTCCCTTAAATCAGTTTAAATCTAGGGTATGGATTCATTCTGATTGTAAGTCTCCATTTTTCTTAGAGCTCTGACAAAATGTCTTAGAAAATAACATTCTGATAAATTTTATTTCGTTAGTTCCTCCTGAAGAGTATTTGGAGAACTGAGCTTCCCAATGCTAATGCCTGCAAATAGGATTGAGAATAAATTCCCCCTCTCAACTGCTGAAAAATTTTACCTCCTTTTTAGATAATGTTTGGCAAAAATCCCCTGCACACACATTCACACAGAGTGTTGCCCCCTGGAAGCTAGCAGGGGAGATAACTTTTCCTTAACTGTGGGTTGCATCCAGAGACGACTTCACATGCCAGTGCTGTGTTGTGTATGTAGCACTAAATAATGTTATATAAACAAGCCTGCTTGTTCAAGCAGCACAGGGGGTCTTTAACGGGCACAATTCCGAAATCCTCACCATGAAAACTCATATAGAACCAGTATAAGTTTGCAGAGTAGATATGCCTATACAATTAGGAATGTTGGAATGGTTTGAGACCTCCAGTCTTTTCCTCTCCCTGTTCACAGAGCACTTGCTCGCATTCCATGGTCAGGGTGGAGGTTGGCAGAGAAAAAAGGCGCAACAGGGCTAAGTTCCACCTCACACTGGGGTGCAATTCTGTTGCTCCCCTGAAAAGGGCATGCATAGGCCAGTGCTAGTAGATGCTCAAAAGTAGCACTGAGTGATTCAGCAGCAGGGGATACCCTGCTTCTCTCCTACATGGAATTAGTATCTGTGTAGCGTTTGAAATATGGTGCAGATGCTTGTTTTGCTGCTCCTGCACCAACTGGGCAGCCAGAATCATCAGCCAGTGCTTCATCAGTGTCCTGGCAGCAAGAGGCAAAGCCATGCCTTTGGTATAGCTGCAGAACATCCAAAAAAAAAAAAAAAGAGATGGTCTAGAAAGTGGAAGATGAATTGTGGGAGGAGATGTAGAACTGGCAGGAAGTGGCCCCAAGTTGCCCCCTTTGGCAGATGGAGATGAATGGATGTTGGGAGGAAGCATGCCCCCAAACCAGGTGTTTACGCAGGTTGATAAAACAACAAGGAGCTAAGAGGAAGCAGGAGCAGCAGAGTTCTAGTAATCTCAGCCAGCTTTCCAACTGACCTCCCATTCCATTGAAGGCAAGTGATTCTAGGAAGAGCCTTAATTTATTGTTCCACGGACCTCCATCAGATTTCATCACTGATCCTAGGAAATGAATGTGGTTTGTCTATCTCTAAATCAATCTGCATTCCCGTTCCCCTTGCAGAATCAACACTGGTATGCAGCTGCCTCATTCCAAAAAGTACAGCTGATTTATTAACTCATCTGTTCTTTCTTTCTTTTTTCCCTTTTTCTTCCTTTCTGTTTTTCCTCCCGCATGGCTTCCCTGTGTGTCTCTTCCTCATGCCTCCCTACATTCTGCCATGTAAGTACCACTAGCTTATAGTGCTGTTCTACTAAATTAGTTTTAAGGGGGCAAAAGGGCAGAGGGGCGGCCAGGAGATGGGAGGGAGGCGATTTGATGGAGCACTGTGCAAGGAGATTTCTTGGGATCAACTGATGGACTGGCAGGTCCAAAGTTGAAAGTTGAACCAGATGGTTTAGATTAGAACTCCCATAAACCCTTGCTGCTGGCTTTGCTGGCTAGGGCAGATTTTTCATGGGAAAAATCACCTGCAGGGCCAATGCAGGTAGACACTGCAGGTTGAAAAATTAATTGAAAATCATTCCAGAATGGCAAAGTGGTGGTGGGGTGGGGGAGATAAAGGAAGGTTTATAACATTGTTTTCTCCACATACAGTCAATGAGCAGTGCATGTACAAAATTACAAAAGGGTGCCAAAGAGAAATAAAAGATGCATAAAACATTGTGCATGTTTTTAGATGGTGTATAAGGATATTTTCTGGTAATTTTCATATTTTGATATTATTAGTTTGCATATGATTCTAAAAAGTTTTTTTTAATCGCTTACTGATCTGTGGAATCTGTGCCACTCAAAAGATGCTGGTCTGCTGAGGAATCCACAGGTTGAAATAAAAAATAGAAAATAATGTTATTTGAATCCATTTTGGATTTCTTCAGCATCATTACTGTCTATGCGTCACTGCCAAAATCACTTATCTCCAAGTTAGAGGACAGGACAAGTAGAAAAGAGTACAGGGCAGAGCAAACCCAGAAGGAATCCAGTCATCCCTAGATAGGATCCTGGGTATCAACACCACACAAAGCAAGAGGTGGGAAGGCTGAATGTGTGCTGGCAATGGATGCTCACTGATCCTCATCGGATTTGTAGGAATGACTGCAAGACCCCTTTCCCCAAATTCATCTTCCTCACTAGGGACATTCAGAAAGAAATTGGGCAGCCATCTGAGTGAGATGGTGTAAATTGGTGTCCTGCAACAGCCGGGGGTTGGACCCGATGGCCTTCTTGGCCCCTTCCAGCTCCACTGGTCTATGATTCCATGATCATCTTCATCTGATGTGAGAAGGACATGCAGGAAGAGCTGCCACGTTGTTCCAGTGAAGACTTCCCAGCCGCTCAAGCACTGGCAGCAGTGCAGATGTCCCTGTTTCTCTTTCATTGACAATTATAGACCAGTCCACATGCCGTAGGGGGCTGCATGCAACTGAGCATGGAAATCCTCAAGCAGGCACCTGTGCAACAGATAATACTGCTACTTGGGTACACACAGCTTGGGGACAAGTGGTGGGACGTGTCTGCTTGAGGATGTGTCCGCAGCATGATCTTAAAGGAGAAAAAGTGAGTTATTTTGGAATAACAATAACGCCAAAACCTAACATGCAATGGGCTTGGAAGGAAGTCATGCCAAGAGGCATGATATGGGGTATAAACGCACTGCAGTGCCCCCTTATGTGGTATTATATCATCTTGTCAAATGCACTGTTGTATGAGATGGGGCAAGAGGCAGCATTGTTTATTTACACAGAAGGCATTTTTAAACCCACTTTATTTTTACTATGTTATCACACTTTTGTACAAAGCTCCTACATGGGATTCAAACAAAGGTTCAGCAGGTGCTCCCAGGCCAGATGCCCAAGCACCTGTTCAGTCCTGCTTTTACAGAGGACCTGAAAGAGGTGTGCAATTCCTAGCAGAAGTCCTGCGTGGTCGGCGCGTGGCTCCCCCACACACAATGGGGCAGATTCTTATAAAGACAGGCTTCGAAGCAAGGTCTTCCTCGCTGCTCTTAACAAAGGAAGTGAGAAGCGACTGCATGCGGTTGTGGTACACCTCAGTTGTTGTTAGTTTTCTCTCTGCAGCCACAGGGCGCAAGATACCTTTTTCTTTTCAGAGCTAAGCCTCAGGAATTCTTCACAGCATTGCAGCTGCTGCCCAGATCCCATCCCTGTGGCTGCCCTTACTGCTCTTTGGCCTCACCCATTCTCAAGCAATCCCCTCCTCCATGGAACACTTTTACACTGGACAGAAGGTGTTTGCTTAATTGCTGGATAGAGGTGACCAACAGTGTTAGAGCAGTGTAGCGCTTTAAGCCTCCATAAACACTGGAAGGAGCAACAGCGTGCAGGCTCCAGTTTTGGAAGGCCTTTGGTCAAGGTGCCCTCGAGGAGCCCCTCTCCCCCCCGAGAGTCCACTGAATCGCCACCATTGCAGTCACTCACTGCACCCCTTCCTTGTTTTCATGACCCCCTGCTAGCTTGAGAGCAAGAAATGTGGAGAGCAAGCAGGCTGTGTCCTCTGCCTCTGTTGTGCCACCACCACTGACTGAGCCCAGCAAGGGCCTGCAGCCTGCGGGACCCGCTGTTGCAATGTGGGCCCTCCGTAGGTGACTGCGCCAACCCTGGACACCAGCTCTGGAGCTGTGGCACATGGAAGCATCCTGATGCAGCAGATATGATCATTCTTACTCCCTTGTCTCCTGGAATGGCTTGCTGCTTCTTACACTCCGCTGGGATTGTTTACTTCTCGAAGCATTAAAAGTGGTGGAATCAATTTCCTTACAGCAAGCCAATTTCTCAGGATTCATTGCCACCTAGGGTAGAGTACAGTTCAGTATTCATCTATATTTGTCCAGATCTTGCACTAATGGGAGGCCTTGTGTTCTTTCATCATTTAGAGCAGGGCTGGGTAGACATGAGACTGCTGTGATCAAGTTTGTTTTCTTTTTACTCCAACCTGAGGTCTTATCAGCTGGAGCCAGGTGAAAAACAGTGGCTCGGGACATCTCTACAGCTAGTAAATCAAGGAGCAGGGTGTCTCTGAGCACATAGTTCAGACCAAGAATTTGTTTTCTGTATCAGAAATAAGAAAACTTTCCTTCCACACAAACATGTTTTTCTGACTTCATTTTAGCAGCCTAATGCAGGTATACGGAAGCTTTTATTGCTGGCTGTTGTTATGTAGCTGGGATCCCAAAATGCCTGCAGATCCATTGAAAATCACCCAGGAATCTACCAGTAGATCATCTTTTGCCCAACCCTGATTTAAATCAGTGCGTCTCAGCTTTTGTCTTGCAGTGTTTCTAGCTATTCATTGCTATGGGCTTTGGAATGATTGACGAAAAAGATCCATTGTTTCTCAGAGTTAGGTTATATCTTTCATTTAGCATACTGATGAGATAGTAGCATGAATCTGTCATTTCTGGGACAGACTAATGATCCCTTGGGCTTCTTCAAGACCTGTTGTAGCATTGTGGCCAAGGGACTGGGCTATCCATCACAAGGTCCCTGTATTAACTCACCAGATGGTTCTAGTTAAGTCACAGTCTTTCAAGCCCCGCTGTAATTTGGGGACAAGGACTCTTACCTTCCAGCATGATCCTCTTAAGGTAAACACATATCCATGTATTTATTTATAAAATAGATTGGTACTGGTGAGAACACTGGCAATTTTTGTCTACCTGCACTACTCTTCTCTTTGAAACCTTAAGAGTTCCCAAAGAACCCCACACTCCATAGGATTTCTAAATGTCTGAAGTTCTGGACCTGAACACCCAACAACTTGATCTTCAGATATTTTGGAGTTCAGCTCCAATGCCAGCATGGCCAATTGTCTAGCAGACTAGAAGATCTGGGGATCTACTTTCTGCCCACTTCTGCCCTAGAACACCATTTGAAAACCATGTCCTTCAAGTTCAAGAAGAAAACGAGTATCATAAAGCAGTGGTGAACATGCAAAGACAAGAAGCTACCTTCAAACCCCAATTACACTCCTAGAAGAAAAACAGGTAGAAATGCTATACTTAAAATGAGTAATAAGACCACAGTAAAATAATAAGAACAAATGAACTGTGTGAAGAGCTGAGAATGAAGGCATTTGCACACAAGCATATTCCAGGAGTGTTGTGATTCCGGATTTCTGTCTCCCTGACTTCTGACCATCTAAAACAGCTTAGCTGGCTGTTGCGCTGCCTTTCTTATTCCCTTTGGAGATCTCTCATCTCTCATCTTTCTGGCACTGCACCAGTTTAATGAAGGCATCAAGAAAAATGGTAGCTTGATTACTCTCTGCAAGCCGCATAATGATCATCAAACCAATTTATTAGCAAACACTGAAGTGCGGTAAATTCTTAACATCACAGAAGGACAATTAGGAAGTAAGTAGTCATCAAAGGAAAGCATTCCCTCTCCCTTACCAAGGATTAAGACAAATTTAGAAAAGTGTGTGTGGGTGGCAAGGGTTGAACTTGATCTACTTTGTGTACAGAACTCCCCTCTCCACCTCTCTCTCTCTCTCTCTCTCTCTCTCTCTCTCTCTCTCTCTCTCTTTCTCTCTCTCTCAGATCTGCTCTTCAGTCTCTCCTGTGTTGTCCCTTCTAAGCACTCCATTTTCAGTCAAAGACTCTCTAAATAAGAGAGAACATTCTTTGTTGATGTTTCACTTCATAGTGCTGTGCTAACAGTAGGACATGGGATGATGCCTGGCTCACTGATGAAGTTAGATTGTCTAATTTCAATGGGATAGGGACCAAGGTAGTTATTTATTATGCTATTTTGTGGAGTGATGGGTGCATTAATGTTGCTGTATGGAATAAGAACAGAAATCACACATAATAATACATTCCTGCTTTGTTCACAAAGAGGTGGTGACGAGTTGTTCTGTGCTTTGTAATTTCAATAACACATCACTATTTATTGAAGGAGATTATAAGCTATTTTCTGTGCAATTTAACAGGCTTCTGATGCGCGCTTACTTATTTTGCTTATTAATTAACAATGGTTATATGCGGCCCCATTAACAATGTGATCTAGGTGAATTACAGTAACAATGAAGCAGTGAAATAAAACTATAAACAATAACAAAGAGAAAGCAACAAATATATCACAGCAAAAATTGTCAGCAACACCAGGAAATAAATTAAACAGAATTTTAGATTTAAAGAGATGCTCCATGTGAGGTATTTAACCTTGTGCTTTATGAAGGCTACTTCTTTCATTTTCTTTGCAGGAGAGAATATCCCTTTGTGCTGGGTTTCTCCCTCGGGTTTTCATCTCTGCCTTTCTAGTTGTTCCACTGTACAACCCAAAATGTCACCATTGCATAGAAAAGAATTTAGACTTTACACAAGGCTTCCTCAGTGCATGATAGCATCATCCGGGAAAATACTGCATTATCCTTACTCTTAAAGGGGGAAAAGTTTCCAAAATATGGGAATGGCTCTGGAAGGATGAGGACATCACATAAAGGACCCACTAACTTCTCTGAGAAGGCTCATGAGTACACAATAAACACCTTATATAGAAAAGCACCCCAACCCAAACATGGCAAAATAATTTTTTCTTTACCTAATCACAAAAGACCACAAAGTGGGTACCAAGGAAGCTTCTGTGAGGTGAAATATATTTTACCATCAAACTGGAGCACCATCTCAAATATCTTGAGAATATATTTAAAATCTTGTTGATAGAAAAATGCCTTCTTGTCCAAGATTCAGTGCTCTTCAGGTGTGTAAGTTTGAACAAGTTTGCAGCAATAGTGACAAACTTCTGCTAAAGGAGATGGCCCTCTTCTCTCACCACACCAGACGAATACAGGATTCTTTTTTATTTCAGTGGTTTATATTTGCTTTCAAATTTTAAATTAAATCACCAATGTGGTAGATTGTGAACGCTAATAAGCCAGTACACATTTATGTTACAACAAATTCAATTTTCACATAAAATGACAGCAATAAAGGTAAAAATTCTCCCGAGTAATACAAAGAGTTTTTTAAAAAACAGATTAAAAAGTGAAGAAGATGCCTGTAACAATTTATCAATTAAAAAAATAAAACTAAAATATCTATTAATGAAGAGTTTGGAAAAATAGTAAGGTCTTAATAATGTCATCCAAAACTTGACAAGGTATGTGCCAGGCAGACTTTTCTGTGGAAGGCATTCCATTAGGATTCACATAAGATGATTAGCATGATCGTCTTGCATAAATTTAGGACTAAAGCAGGAAATCAGCATGCATCATATTCTTGTATGCACCCCTCATCCAACTAGAGAGATATGCATGGAAACCCTCACCTACATTGGGTTGAATGCATCTATTGAAAAGACAGTGGGTTGGATCAGTTAGTTGAACTTGATTTTCTTGGAATTCAAGAGGAAATAAAATTACTCATTGATTTCAATAGGAACTGACTTTCTGTTGAAGTCACCTTTTTCCAGGTCCAACCCCAAATCTGTGCACAACAAGCACAGACTTTTTTTTAATTGTGTGCTTTGTCCTAGGTACACATTGTAAGGAGCTATAGATCAGCCTTATGGCCTCCAGATGTGTTTGGACTGCAACACCCAGAAGTCCCAGTCAATAGAATGGATGGGAATTCTGGGAGTTGTGGTCCAAATGCCTCTGAAGACCAACCAGGTTGGGGAAGTCTGCTATAGGTGATCTCTTCTTTTGGCTGTGTAACCCATGAAACCATCTATGCATGTAATATATTGGCATAAGTCAGTGTGATAGTACAATATTAGTTATTTCACTAATCAATTACAAACTATTTTCAGTTTCATTCACACAAAGAAGGGAGAGTTGGATGGCATTATCTTCCGTTTGCAGCTCATCTACTCCCCCCCCCCCCCCGCTGATGCTTCTTCCGTACCAGGGGGCAGGGTGAGCCCTTTGCAACCTTTGACTGTTAGTGCTAGGAGCTCTTTGGAAGGAATGGAGGATGAGCTTTCAGAAAGACATTTAGTATCCCATTCTCCATGCCTAGAGCACCAGAAGTGCAACTGAGGAAAAGAGCAACACCTAGCAGTGGTTCGTGCCACACATTGCTGCGAAACAACTGGAACGACTGGTTGAAGTGTGCTAGAGCAGGTCGGAGCACAGAGAGGGCGTTCTTTTTGCCGTATTGCTAACTTGTTCTTTAATTTTGTAGAAGAGACAGCCGCAGTCCAGACACCCTGGAAAGGTCAGTAAAAACCTGCTGAAGCTTCCTCAAATTCTGGCCTTGAACCCCAGCCATCCCTCTGCGTCTTTCACCGTTTCCACTCCCTTACCCGGCAGTTAAGCTAACTCCAAGGGGTTTGTCTGTCAATTATAGCAATTATCTCTTCCCAGCTTTCTTGTCAACCCCCCTGCCTCTTCTTTGCTGAATCCCCCAAGGCCTCTTGCCCACCTGCTTTTAAAGAATCTGGCTTGGTAGTAAGTCTTTGCCATTGTTTTCACAGAATAATGTGGCTAGTCTTCATTTCTTGCAACCTAACATACAGCAGAGATCTCCTCCACACAGCTTTGCTCGCATTTGCTGTGTGACCCCTTCCTTTGCTTCGCCACTTCTCCCGACCGCCTTTTTTCAATCATCCTTTGTATCACGTATTTGTGACATGAGATATGTTTGGACTGCTTTCGGATTTACTCTTATTTAACATCTCAGGCCAATTTGACACATTCGTTTTCATTCACTGGCTATGCTGCATGTGTGAATGGGCCTGAGTAGTTAGAACATCATGGATAGGAATGCTCTCTCTCTCCACATGGCTTCTTGCAGTGCTTTCCTACAAAATCCCTTTGTGAGATATACAGTCATAAAATGTGCAGAGCAATAGAGGAATGTGTTTTTAATGTGGGCTGGATTGGGATTCTCTCCTCCACTTCCATGGATCCTATGGATACTGCAGGCCAAACATGAAGAGCCATTGCAGCTATTTTCTGGGGAAAGATACACAGTTTGACATTAGGCATCTTTGTGAAAGGAAAGATGGAACCCACTGACTTAGCAGAGCTTTGAAGCAATTCTACTGAATGAGATCTAGTGAGTCTTCCGATTCCCCCAAAAGCTCAGGTGCTCCAATCAAAAGTATGTGGCGGTACCCACTCATTCCCTTGCAGACCCAAATGAGCGAAACTCCTTTCAGCTCATTGGCTCATCCCAGGCTTAGTGTGAACTGATACGTGTAGCCAGAATGCACCAAGACAGATTGCCACACTCTACATGCAGAATTGGGGCTATCCTCCCAATGACACACTTTAATTTATCCTACATAGACCTAGTACAAAAGAGGTGTGCATTGCTTTACAGAGAAACATTCCAAGTATGCTAAGAAATATGTCAGGGGATAGGAGGAAAAATACAATAATCCAAGCCACTAGGTACTTCCACCTAGGGCTAGGCCATGAGTAAAGGCAAGAGCTATCCATGGAAGACGTGCCTCTAACTTTAGTTGCATTCCTTGTTCTCCTGAGCTAATTTACCTGCCTACCCATGGTTTCTCCTCCCACGATAGCATACTAGCAGGTTATTCCTCCCCTCACTTATTTGTTTGAATTTGAGAAATTACACCTATAGGTTCTCCAGTAAATTAGGAAGAGGTTTGCAGTGGGTGGGGACTTCAAATGCATTCATGAAGAAGATCTCTCTAGCATGTGCAGTGGGGGAGTCAACAGCTAAAGAAAGTAACCGAGCGATTGTGGGTGAATGCGTGCTTCTATGTAATGGTATAAATATCAGCATTTTTTAATTTTGAAGCCAGGCTGTGGGGAAAGAAAATGCTGCAGAAAGAGGAGCAGGGCAATGGTTTAGAGCTGGGATGTAGCACTGCAGGCTGGGATCAAATTCCTCCAAGCTTCCCCACATGGTGAAGCATGAGCATAGCGTTGCTCGCCCTGGGAAAGAGTCAAACCTGAATGCTTGCAAAAGCTCGAGTTATTTGCTAGCGTGTGCACCTTGTTCTGCTGCCCCCAGGCCTGGCAAGCAGCAGTATCACTGATCAACACAGCCACGTGCACATGTGGATAGTTGTGGGGATTGTCATAAACAATGGCAGTTAAAACACTGCACTGTCCTGCTGCTGGGAAATACATTTGCCTTGAGGCAGGGCAGAACATTGCCCAAACTTGGTGTGGCCACTTCCACGCCCGCGCACCCTGCCCCTGCCTTGCCATGCCCCGCCCACTCGCCCCACCCCTCCTTGCCATGCCCCGCCCACTCGCCCCACCCCCTCCTTGCCATGCCCTGTGTGCCCTGCCCCTGCCTCACCTTGCCTCACCACGCCCATGTGCCCTGTCCTGCCCCACCCCTGCCCCCACCCCCACCTCGCCTCACTGTGCCCGCGCGCCCACCCCCGCCTTGCCTTGCCCCACCCCGCCCCACCCCCACCTTGCCCACGTGCCCCTCCCCCACCCCCTCCCCGGCCCATGCACCCCGCCGGCCCCGCCCTTCCACCCACGCGCAGCACCGGCACCTCTCAACTGGCCCCCTGGCGAAAAAGTTTGAGGACCCCTGTGCTAGACCATCCCGTGAGACACTATTGCTGAGCGCGCAGTTTCTCCTGTGGAGAAAGTCTTGGCCCGGCCACAGCAGAGCCCCGGGGGTGGTGTGAGTGGGGTTCTGCTGGTGCTGCTGTCAGCGGAGCTCAAGCAATGGATGATTATTGTTGCTTCAACAGGAGGCTTGTTTTAATATGTCCGAGTGCATGTTCTTTGCATCCACACGTTTCCTGCAGAAGCCCGGAAGGACCCCCTGGCCTCTGCCACCAGCATGTGGCTCATAGACCACACTGCTGCAGCCTCTGCCTCCTGGGAGAACATCACGGCAAGGGCCGGGCCAGGCTAGTCCCACCCCAGGGAAAGAACAGCTGTAGGGAGTCTGCTTCCCCTTCCTGTCCATAAAAAATATCTTTGCTCAGGCTGTCAGTTGCCCATGGATTGCAGCATTGTAAGAAAGCCTATTCTGGCTTCCACCATTGGCCAGAGTTACAACCTCAGCATCCTCGCCATCAGTATAAACTGTTCCAAGTCACCTCCGAAATAACGTGGTTGAAAGATGGTTTCGTGGTTCCATCCTTCAAATAAGTAGATGATCTGCCGTGTGCAGTCTGAAGTGGTATGGTTCAGCTGAAACAATAGATGCATTTGCTGATCATGTGTCTTTCTCCTCTCCTCTTCCTCCTGGGACTAAAGATGGGGCATGGTGAGGGTTCTTGCTGCAGTAATCCTAAGAGCTTCTGTATCCCTTGAATGAAACACAAACATTGGCATGCAATCGCCTGGGAACAGAGCAGATGACATTAGTACCAAACATGGCATGGAGCATACCACCTCCCTGAACAATTACCAGGGAATCATATTTTATGTGAAATGTGATCCGTCTGGGTAAATAGACCCCCCGCCCCTGTCTGCACTACAAACCTGTCAGCTTGATGTGGATGGGGCATGCTCTGAATCATTTTCTGCAGAACTCATTGAGGTCAAAGGTCACTGGGGTCTTGGGGCCGAGAAGCTGATCTGGGAGGCAGTGAAGAGTCTAAGCCGGAGCATCATTTTCAAGCAGAGCATCATTTGTGCGACCCAGAGGCCTGTCAGATGCTGGTTATTCCTCATCCATCTCTTCACAAAGCTTTGACTTTTTATTTATTTATTTGGCAAGGGTGTGAGTGTCCCATCTTCACACAGTTCTTTTGAGAGCTAGCAAAATAACTCAAGGATCAAATGCACTCACCAAGAGTGGTCATGATGCCTAGAAAACTTTTGAAAGGAACAGAGATACTCACCCATCTCTAGCTTTGTACCATTTCAACAGCCCTCAATCCCCGGATTTATGCTCTTTGAGGTGCTGCAAATTCTATTAGCAGCCCTCATGCTTTAACCGCAACCCCTCCCCCCAAAAATTAAACTTCCCAGGTTTTATTAGAAATTGGAAATGACTTTCAATTTTAGGCAACCAAAATATCTATAATTACATAAAATAAACCACAAAGGCACTCACAGAGATACATTAATGTGGTTGCAAAGAGAGGGAGGGAGTGCATCATCTTTAATTGATAAGTGAAATTCTGTATCATCATGAACAAATCTATTTGCAGCTCCATAATCATTATGATGAAACAGATTTCATCCATTCCAGCCAATCATCTAATACCATGGTATAATAGAAAGTGAGGAAAATACATCTATTTATTTTTATGAAATATCCACATTTTAGTGAAATTGCAGTTGTGGGGCTGGGGGAAGAATTATTTCTAAACCTATTCTTGACTGTCAGCAATTTAGCTGGAACTAAAATAAATAAAAGGAAGAGAGGGGAGGGGGAGACTTTCCTAAAATAGTGCCTGATTAATTGGGGGCATTTTAAAATCATTTGGATCGTTTGCAATTAATTAACTCATTTCATCTAGTAATTAAATATTGCAACATTATTTTCCAATATGTGTAGGTAGAAGTGCAGCTTTATTTACTTTTTGGCCTGGGGAGGGACAATATTTTTCTAAGCATATAAAATACCCTGATATATCCTATCTTCTTTAAAAAAATATTCACAACATAGGAAAATTAGTCCCAGCCCACCAGCTCTTCATCTTCATCTTCACCATCACCATCATTGCATTGCATTGCATTGCATTCATATCCTGCCTTTTTTCCTTTTGCAAGGAACCGAAGTCAAAGGCTCCTCCTCTCCACCTTAGCTTCACAACAGTTGTGTGATGTGGGTGAGCCTGAGAGCCCATCACTGGCCCAAAGTCACCCTATGAGCTCCATGGCTGAGTGAGAACTAGAACCTGCGTCCCCCATGTCCCAGTGCAGCACTCCAAACTGCTCCTAGGCTAAGGCCTGGCCAACAAAAGAGCAGGCTTACAACTTTGCTGAGGGATGCTCTCCCGTGAGTTTTGAGTAGTCACCAGGAAAACGGGGAAGGGTCCACCAATGTGTACTGACTACCAGTAGCAAAGCTCAGCATGACCTGGCCATCCAAACTTGACACCCTAATAAAAACCTGAATGGGACATTCCAGGCCAATCATTCTCAGATGATTTGTTTTTCTGAAATACTTTTGGTGGCTAATTGATGCTTAATAGCCTTTTCTCTGGGATACCACTGGGTCTGATTACTGGCCACTTTGGAATGTCACATGCTGCCTTAATGAGCTTGAAGGAATTAATGTTGGAGAACAGCCATCGCCAAGGCCAGGATGGGTCACTCTGGCATCTTTGTGGACTGCAGCCCTTAATGGCAGTCTTGGCAGCAAGCGCCCCATTATCTTCTTCCATGCAGTCCTGTGCTTGGCTCCCTCCAGTGCTTGTTATGAAATTTCAAAGAAGCCAAGTTAGCTTTCAAGACTGCTTTCTGGGGTTGCTGCTCCAGCTGTATTATGATAACATCCATTAATTTAATAGATTTTATAACAAAAATCCTTGTGGGTTGTTATTATTTTTAATTAGCAGTCCAATGTCTTAACATTAGAAAGTTGAGCTTTATTTGAGTCTGACTGAGAATGGAACATGATAGTTGCTGCCTGCAGACATCTCTGTGGGATAAAGGGTAAAAGACAACGACAAGCAGATTTTGCTTTCCAGTTTCTAAATTCTTGGCAGAAAACTACTCCTGCTGCTGTGCCACGGATGGCACAGACCATAGCATGCACCCTTTGCAATTCTCCAGGGCTCATGGGCTTCAAGAGGATTCTGGTTGCCCACTATGGGAACCAGGCGGTGGACAGGTAACACTTTGGGCTGATCTAGCAAGGTTTTTTCTGTCATACTAAAAAATGATGGCATCACAGCTTTCAGGTGAGTGTGCCTGATTCTGAGTGTATAATCTGCTGAAGTAAGCTGCTCTCCCACCAAAAATAGGGCTTTCAAAGGGTTATACAAGAGAATAAACCAAAACACAGCCTTTAAAATCAACAAAATCACCCACTGATAACATTGCCATATTTTTGACCATTGTGAAAAAACAAGCAAGCAAAATCAGTATGCAGCCTGATTGCAAATATGCAATGAGACAACTGACTAATACCAAAGGAGCATCAAAAGAAGTTGGCCTTCAGCAGGCACTGAAATGTCAATGTAGAAGGGGCTGATCCACTTCCTAGGGGAGCGAATGCCGTGTTCTGGACACTGCAACAAAAAGATCTCTTGCAACAAAACTAGTCCTCTGACACTGATGGAATTCAGAGCACGGCCTCCCAGGACGACCTCTGCAGAGGAGGAGGGTTGTGTTAGAGGAGCCACTACTTTAAACCAAGGAAAATATACAAATCACATAATTGCAAACTTACACAAAAGGCTGTAGAATTCATTGTTCGGGGGGTGCCTTTTCTTCTTACATCATATTTTCTGTTGGGATGCAAAAAGATTCATAGCACACAATAGACACTGGGATTATCCTGTAAGAATACTGCAGGGACAGAACACACTGCCTTGGTAGCCAATGCATTTAAAAGGGAGATGCACTGGAATGGTTTATCAGTTACTCATCTTGGGATTCTCCACCCACAGTTCTACTTGGGTTTGGATTGGTTATTCATTTTCAGGCTAATACACTTCAGATTTTGAAAACCTTCCCCCATCCATTTAAGTGTTTTGAGCTACTCAAAGTTGAGAGACTCCAGTCTTTCATAACAGTAAACAGTTTGATAGACTTCTCTTACATTGCATTTGTTATGTATCTAATGGGAATTCTGAGTGCAGACAACATTATGTATGCAGAAATAAACTGCATTTTTGTGCTGGATCAGGAGCTGTGCTTGATTGTTAAACACATGGGTAAGACTGGATGTGTTCAGACTTGTAAAGGCTGGAATCAACCATGGCAATAACAGTATTTGTTGGCCTAAGACCTATTTGCACATCAAGAGCATTGTTCATGGTTCAGTTTGCTCATATGGTGCTTTCTGTTTCCCCCTAGGCCCTGGAGCAGTGCATGATGGGAACAGTGGTGGGTCAAGAAGAGCTGGTTGCATCTGGCTGCTTCCCTTCCTTCTCTTGCACCTGCTGCCCAAGTTTTGACCCCGTCAACCATGGTGATCAGAAGAATAAGAAGAAGAAGAAGAAGAAAAGAAGAATATTAAAAAAATTAAAATAATCATAATAGTAAAGAGAGTATATTATGAGGAGATCTTGGGGAGAGAGAAAGGGAGTTTGAAAAACAAGAGGAGTCCAAATTGTTCTGCTAATGTTTCAACATGACTGATGTTTCATTTTTTTTTCTTTCTATTTTTCCCATTTTTCCCCGCCATGGACAAGTATGCAGCTGTTGGGGATCAACCAGTACATTTGGCTGAGTGACCATTGTTCCCATTGCCCCACCCGCTCCCTAACAAGGCAGCTGACTCATGCTTGTTTGCTTTCTCTGAATCTGCCCAACTCTCCTACATGGAGGATTACGTTGTTGGCTGCCTTGTATACAGCACATCACAGCTTTTGTCCTCTGATTCCCCTCCTCTTCACGGACTGCGCTGTTATTTGTTTGATTGCAAACTACAACAAAACAACTACAGATGACAACCACTCTGATATAGCAACCACAAGCAACTGAGCGAATCCCCCACCCCAACAACACATGATTGTTAAGACATTAATTCATTGTACTACATGGATATCATGAATATTAAGGGATTCTGAGTCATTATTAATTTTATTAATTATATTTTCTGATATGAGCCTAGAACTGTTAGTTCATAAAAAAATACAAAAACAAAAAACAAAAATGGAAAAAGTGAAGCAAGTTTATTAAGTATTAAAAACAAATTGAATAGCAGGATTCTTAACTAGGTTTACAGGAGGTGGAGGGACAAGTGTCTCCAGTTGTTCGTGTGATCGGTTTGATTAGAGTTGACACATCTGGCAGAAAAAAGAGAGAAAAGTTGAACAAGCAATGCCTCCACCAGCATCATCAAGTTTCCATTCATTGTTCTCGTGTTCAACTCAAGAAAGTTTTCTGCTGTTTTCATGTTTGGAAGGACAAAGGTTGATGCTCACTGTATGTTGAGTTTGATGGATATGCTTATCCTTTATTATTATTCATATATATATGTACGTATGTGTGTATATATATATATATATATATGAATATATATATAATTTTGTTAGCATTCTAGCACATTATTTCTCAGCCGGGTCCTTGTTCTGACATTACTGCATGCTGTATATGAAGTTAGCTGTGTATTGGTCTTCTCAGACACAAGGGTAGAGTTTTATTGGTAACTGTGTAATTAATTCCTGCTTTTTTGGGCCTTTCAATGGGTTATTTACATGTTGAAGACATTTATAAAAAAAGAAGAAAAGAAAAGAAAGAAAAAAACTGCAGCATCTCTTTCCAGATTTGGATTTATATGAGGGGAAAATAATGACAATTAAAGCCAATACACTCCCTTTATTTTCCCTATTCTACACAGCTTCAGACAGAAACACAACAAGGACATAAAATAAAATAAAAGAAGTTTCAAAGAATAGTTTGTCTTTTAAAAAAGCAAGGGGGAAAAACTGTTTCTGTGGCTGCTTGAGAAACCAACTCACATCAATTTTGTTCTTTCATTTCCTTTTCAATGGATGAACCTGAAGAAATGCACCTTTTAGGTTTGGGGATAGTCTGATAGGTGGAGGCCTCCTTTGTCCTTGGTTTGTTTGGAGGTCAAAACTGGAGGTTGTCTCTGACTTTACATTAAAAAAAAAAAAAAGAATATGTTCCATGTTGCTCTTCAGACTGGTTGTGATACCTCATTCTTAAACTCGTGGAGGAGGAGATGTATATATAGCTGATGCACTGACATTACTCTTCAATAAAATGTTGAACTTTGATGCAGAAGAAATCAGGGTGGGGGTCCAACATGGGCGGCCAACAGAGTGAAAGGGTAGTGGGACCAAAATATCATCCCGTTATTTCCACAATTAACTTTGCCCTGCTGTGTACACATCTTAGCAATATTTCATAGCTGAGAGCCTTCTCCTGATGCACTGAATTTTGTGGTAGACAAAGAATGCAGTTAAGATGGCACGTTAATGCAATATGGTAAGGGAGAAACCAGAAATCCCTGAATCTCACCAGGCTCATCACAAATGGGCATGACTGTGGGGTTAACATTACTTTGCAAACTCCAGGAAAATATATGTATGTATGAAAGTGTCAGTGTGTGTGTTTAAGATTGGTGTGCAATAAAAAGGTCATACAATAATTAGAAGTATACTAGGTGGCATGCTATATTTTATTGAACTCACAATCAAATGTAGATCACTGTTGCCTCCTAGAGATCCCTAACCTAGGTGTTCTGGCTTGGTTACTGTTCCTATTTCCCCTGCTTGCCCTGGAAGTATCCTCGGCATTGTATGCCTTCCGTGTCCACCCTTCCTTTCACCCTCAATCTGGCTGTCTTTCTTCTCATTCCTTTGTTGTCAGACTAACCTCACTTCATGTTCTTGAGTTTGGTATGAGATCCCCTTCACTTCTGCCTTTGATTTGGCTACATCGGGCAATTAATTCTGGTCATGTAGCAGCTATTCAAATCCCAGTTAGCTGACAATGACTCATTTTTTTCTCCTTTTTTCGGACCCAGGTTTTGATGGAGTAAGCAAGTTCTTTGAGGATTACAGAATTTGTCTTCATAAGTAATGTAGGTAAAAGAATGCAGAGGATTTCATTTTTTTTTTCACCAGCAGATCTTGGTCCAGTGAGAGGTATCATCCTTCCCATCTCTTCAGTTATTTCATGAACTACTGTCAGCTGTCCACCATATCAGTGGTGGCCCATGCACCTCTTTTTCCTCATTCTTGGTCTGGGGAATAGTTATCCCCAAATTTGAATGACGTTCATCAGCCAGGTATGATGTCCCAGCTGGGCCTGAACTAACTTCCTGGCTTGGATATTTGCCTAAGTCAGCAAAACGTATGTGGGGGTTGTCACACATTGGATAGGTCGATGAAGAGCTGGTTGATTACATTTGTTAGATTTGCAAGTGTTGTGGGATTCCTCACATAGAAATGACTGTAATTCATCTGTGAGGAAAGTGGTTAATAGGGGAGCCGTGTGTCCTTTGGGGAAGAGCCACAGAGTCTACGATGCAGTGCTGCAAGTAATAAGGTCTGGGAAAGGGAGACATAAAGGTTACAACTGGGATTTTCCATTTTATTTTTTTACAGTCACTTCTCTTATACTTTATAGAAGCATAGATGTTAGTGCTAGAAGGGATGGTTAACCTCCTTGTCTGATCTTGTCCTTGATTGCAGGTCACAGACTTTTGATTGGTGCAGTGCTGTGGCATTCCCCCTAGCTAGGATGGGCGAGCAATAGAGAAGACACAAAGGTCATAAACCAAACCACGTTCAGTGCACTGTAAGAATAAAAAAAAATCCCCAGATATGGGCTATGCTGTGCTTTTCCATTTCCATGATGCTCTTTCTGGAGACTTTGTCTCATTCCAGAATGCCAAAAAAGAAAAGCAAAAACAAAAGGATGCTTTCTACATTAGCATCTTCTCCACCCTCCTCACTCAGTCCTCCTACTTTTGGCACATATCCCATTAGCCACTGCATCTGGAATTCAGTCCCACATGGGAGAGCTGAAGCAGCTCTTGCAGCTGCCAGTCTTTCTATGGAAACTGCCCAGCAAGACCATGGGGACCATGATGCCAGGTTTGGATGACCAGGGAAACCACGATGAAGTGTGGAAGCCATGGGTCAGAACGTCATTTCTCATTGTGCATCCTTAAATGAAAATAAATCATGCTGAAAAACCATGACAGAGTTTGGAGGATGCAGCAGACCATCCTGTGCAAGAAACCAATGTGGCTTTTTGTGTTCTGTGAACCCACCCACAGGTTGAGTCAGATTCATAAGTCAGGAATGGGCATATAAACCCTGGACATAAGATATTTGGATTTCCAGATCTGAGAACAGAGTTGGCTCTCAGACCCTGAAGCTGGGGATTGGAGGTCCAGACCTCTCACTAACAACCAGCATGGAAAGAGCAGCTCTGGCTGCTCTCTGAAGTCAGGAAAGCAATCTTGGAGAGAGATTAATGAGGTGGTTTGTTTTGCTCCATCCTTCTCCATAACTGAAAATGTCAGTCAAGTAAAAATGTAGAGTGGGAAGCAAAAATAACTTTTGATGGCCCTCCTACTCTTCCTCAGATGAACATGACCCCCCTCCCATTCAGGAGCTTACTCTTATCTCCATAGGGGTGCATTTTTGATCAGTTTCATCAGCTATGACCCACAGTAATTCAGTATGGCCCATGAGAAACTCACAACACACCCAGCCCCTCCACCACAAGTCCTGCTGAGAGAGTTACTTAAGAAAGACGGGTGTTGAAAACATACTACATGTTCCTAGATGTGGTACATGTAAACCCCATGGCAAGTGTAATAGACAGACTAGATCTAATGGTCACCATCACGAGCTGGCTTCTGTGAAGGTGATTGCTCTCCAGAAAATTCTCCAGCCCCTGTTAAGAGAATGACTCTCTGAAGGCCAATTATACAGCTAAAGCAACGCAGCTGTGAACTCCATTCAGCAAACTCAACCCTTCCCAGCATTTTCCAGCCTCCAAGAACCTCAGAGCTATTCCAGCCAGGTTAGTCTTTCAGCACACCCAAAGCTCATCAAATAACTCTGGAATGAGAAGGATATCAATAATTTTGGAGTAAGCGTGGAGGAGATGACTGTTTACAAGGTCACATCCTTCTGGACCTGATAGCAGAGAAAGCTGTTCTGAAGTAAGGCTTGGCTGATGTCTGAAATGGGAGCTGGATGTAGGAAGAGACAGTCTTAAGGTAAGTAGGGGTCAGGGAATGTTTCTTGATCAGTTATGTGAAATACTAATGTCCATTGTGGTTAAAATGAGATAACATTTTGTCCAAAATGTAGTTATATCTGCACATGTGACTGCTCCCCCTGTCTCCTTACAAGCCACAGTCTCCTCCACTGCTTTTCTTCCCATCACTGCTTCTTCAGTCTTCATTATCCTCTACCCACATTACAATTCCCAAATAACATTTCCTCCTTTCCTTTAAAAAAACAAACTCTGGTTGCACTGGAGTAGATGCCTCGTCATTAGCCATTGATACACTAGAATTCACTTTTCACAAGTACTTGTAATAACTAATGAAACACAATTGGGTGAATTTGTCAAATAGATCTTTCAATATCCACTAACCATGAGAAAACATAATAGAACAAGAAACAAACCAAAACAAGAACAATTTTGAAGTTGTGTGACATATATTTCAGAGTTTAGACCTCTGAATAGGGATGCAATTACATGGTAAATTCTTTTCTGTTTATGTTTTGCAGATAGTCGGGTGTCTTTCATTTTGTGTGTCCCTCATTTACAGAATGCAAATACATTCAAATACATTTATGCAAATTCCTACTTCCCAAAACCTCCACATTCCCACAAAACATGCAGATGCCTAAAAAAGTTAGCCTCTGGGAGAAATGCAAATTTTGATCATTTAAAAAAAATAGTTTTGTATTTTTGTGATGTTTAAATGTGTTACAGATTACATCAAATTAAAACAGCCAAACAGCCTGAAATGAGC